TTTTCAAACTGTTCTAATCCACACACAGATTCCCAAGAACATTGCTTAGTACCTCTACCACGAAATTCCTTCTTCCATTAAATCACCTTCCATCGACCATTTGTAAATAATCAAGTGCTTAAAAAATAAAACTGATTAATAAGGACAGTCGACATAATCCTCAATCTTTAGAAAAACGGAGACAAGGAAAAGATATATAGAACTTTAGTATAGAGAGATCTAGATCAAATAAGTTGTTTTAAAATCCAAAGAGAGTAAAACCGAAACAAAAGGTTTGCTTAATCAGGTAAGATGACTCATTTCTATTCCTGTGTATAAAGTCCAACAAGCAAGCACTGCAGACGGAGTGAAGAGGACTACGTCCACCTCCTGTCTTAAAGGAAAGAGAAAAGGGTAAACTTTCATCAGCTATGAAATACAACTGGAAGGACAAATAGACCATGGAAGCAAAATAGTAACTGCAGGGTCTTCCTAACACTTGCAAGTTCCATGATTTTTAAAGGCACCATTAAGGGTAAAAGAGGAAGGGGGACTTACACCTTCTCAGCCTTGACAGGACGAACGGTGGGATCCTTGCTGGGCAGAGAGAGAAAGCGGAATCGCCACCTACACGGGTAGTGAGTTTACATTTCGAACCACAGAGATTCTGCTTCTCGTCTCAAAGTCCAAGGCAAACACGTATCCCCACCCTTTATTCTGTTTAATGTCAATAAGGTTCTGCTTTCGTCTTTTTACTCCAAAACAAAAAAAATAACACCCCTAATCTACTCAGTTTAAGGGTTTTGCGGTAAAGGGGTGGGGGTGGGGAGAGGTCGTTTCTTAAAAAGATCTTTCGAAAGAAGAGAGATCAAACATTAAAACACGGGAAAGTTGCATGTACATTTAGTTCACTTACCAATTCCGGCGGGGACTTAAGTCGCCGGCTGTCAGCGTCAGGGGAACTCCTCGGGCGTTCTCCCAGCTCCGCGAGCCGGCTGCACCCCTCCGCGCCGCCGAACCCAGCGTCGGGCGACCCTGCGCACGTGACAGCGCCTTGGGCGGGGGCAGGCGCACGGAATGCTGGGGCTGGTAGTCGCCGGCGCGCTCCCGCTCACGCCCGCCGCCCTCCCCGCCCGCCGCCCTCCCCGCCCGCCGCCCTCCCCGCCCGCCGCCCTCCCCGCCCGCCGCCCTCCCCGCCCGCCGCCCTCCCCGCCCGCCGCCCTCCCCGCCCGCCGCCCTCCCCGCCCTGGCCCCAGGCGTGGGGAGCCCGCGCCTTGGAGCCGCACAAATCCCCGCCTAGTGGCGAGGGAAGGCAGGCTTTTCGGCAGGACCAGGATCACGTGACCCCAGGCGTTCCCCATAAAACTTTTTAACCAACACACTTATTTTGACTTTTCTCTGACTCCTTTAGATAGGAAGTCCCAAGATGGCAGGGAGGGCCGTCATTTAAGTCTATTCGTGCTATCTGTATTTCCAGAACCTAGAACAGGGTCTGTCCAGTCCATAGCCCAAGTTCAAAACGACCCTTCGTGTAAACATGATTTGATCTTTTGGCAGAAGTCACAGGAATTGGAAACACTCTTTGGTGTTTAATAATTGACTACAATATCTAATTCAACAAAGATTAAGTAGAAGAATGTTATATCTCACTTTACTGAGTTTAAATTTTAATTTCAGCATAACCTTTCCTGCAAGACTTGTAGTATTTTAAAATTTTTGTTTCTGCCACATCTGAGAATGGAGAATACATGGAGCCAACTACTCTCTCTTTAACTTCCTTCCTTTTATTTTTGTCATCTTTTCCTCATTAGAAACAATGTTACTTGTTTCTACCAAGACATAGTTGGTATTTTACTTATTTCCCTTTTGACCAGAAATTTGACTATTATGCACAATGAAATTATGCTTTCTCAGTTAAAAACTGGACTTTTGCTTACCCTATACAAAACTCTTGTACAAATAACCTTATTTTAATATGTTTCATTTAAGGGACTCCCTGGTGGCACAAGGGGTTAAGAGGCAACCTATGAAGCTGTCCCCAGCCACTGCAGCAGAAGTTGGATCCCTGGCCAGGGAGCTACCCACATGATGCAGCAGGTCTTTGCTGGCTTGCTGCCTGCTCCCCTCAGCAGTGTATTTCAGTCAGTCTGCCTGTTCTGTTCCCCACTCTGTCTCTGGTGAATCTGTTAGGGGGAAAAGGATGTCCCAAAGCTAATTCCATATAGGCTTTGTGGACTCCACCCCCACCCCAGGTCAAAGCCAAAGACACTGGGAACTCCAAATCCCATCACCACCAAAGGGAAGGTGGCTGGGACCTGAGGGTGGGGTTAAACAGCCAGGTGGATATAAAAGGCAGACACGTGGGCTTTGGGGGAATCCCCCATTTTTGGCTCTCCGCCAGCTCGCAGCGTCTGGCCAGCTCTGAGAGTGACTTTGGGTTTCCAGGTCGTCAGATCGGGTAGGACGCATTAAAGACTTTATTTCCCTATTTTCTCCCTGAGTTGTACATTTTCCTTATTTCCTTTTCTCTTGTAAATAAACCTTTTATTAACCTTTTGTGTGTGTCTGTAGTAGAGTATTCATAAGTCCCTTTAAAGCTCGCGGGTGAGGACCCACAGCCAGGAACCCGTTTAATATCAGGGTTGCTCTATAACAAATCCTCTCACTCCCCACACCTCTGGCCTTTACCCCAGTTCTTATATGGATAAATAACTCTTTAAAAAAAAAAGTTTCATTTAAAATAGTTACTTTATTTATAAATTCAGTATCCAGGACACTAGATTCCTAGACCAAGGCCTAACAAGGATGCATATACATTAATGCTAGTCACTTAATCTGAATTATAACTGCTTTGCATATCATCCCTACTCTATGATAAATTCCCTAAGAATATACTCATTTAGTTCCTACGTTTATTTAGCATCTGTTCTGTGCCAATATAGCAGAAATGATCATAGCAAAGAATAATTTATAAAACAACTACCTGTCTTGTCTTTTGATTCATTGACTTCCTCCATAAATATCAAATTCCCAAAATATTTAATATACAAAGTTTGTGCCTCTTCTTGTTTTTGGTGGTCGTGCAATTCCCTTTTAATATAGACTTTGAGTCTACTGTCTCTATAATGCCACTTCTTTGGGGCCATCCTTATAGTTTGGAAAACATCTACAGCAGAGTATCTGGTTTGACAAGAGTCTGACTTTACCTCACAGCTAATGATGCAAGTTTGGTATTTGTAGTAAGGTTGCTAGGTGTGAAAGGCAGTTACAAGTAAGTTAGACAAGAAGGAAAATCCTAAGCAAATATATGTGTTAATGTTAAAACTTAGCATGCCTCTGATTTTAAGATTCTCATGACCCATTTAAAACCACTTCTAAACGTTTACTAGCATTTTAAGTTACAAAAGAACACATGTGCAAGTATTCAATAATATGTAGAACTTCGTTATCTCTAATTGTTCTATATATGCAGAAAACTTGTACTTTCTGTTTTTTAATATGCTTCCCCCCCCAAACCTGTTTTGCAAGTCTGTATCCAAGTTTCCACAAAGTCACCTATCCCGGCAAATGTTTCAAAGGGCTCTTAATACAAGCATTCACATTCATAATATGAACTTTATATATATTAACACTATAAATTTATATATCCTTTAATAATAACATTACAGAACTTATGCTAATATGTTAATGAGTAATATATAATAGGCACTTTTTATAGAGAAAGCACTTCTTGAAAGGCAGGTATAACCAAGTATCAATACTTTCCAGCATTTTGTTGGAAAACAGTAAATCCAAATGTACTGTGGAATCCAGTCCACAAGGTTAAATGTTTTTAACTTTCCCTTAAGAGTAAAAAAACAAAATAAAATAAAAGTAGCATTTCCCTTGTTAGCTTCTCCAGTTTCTTTGGCTATAATATATAGCAAATAAAGGCAAATAGCTCCTACAAGCTAAAACCTAAGAGACTCTCTACAGCATGCAATTCCTGTCTGTGGCCAAATGTATGAAACGTTAAGAAACAGTACCCATGCACCTTAAGATTTTACTACATTGAAATGTGCCCAGTTTCAGGAACAAATGAGTTACTCAAAAATATTCTAAATATTACTTAAAATATTGAAAGAATAATAAGGCAGGATTTTAATAAGGATTTTTTCAAAATCCTTCATTGTATAGTAATTGGTATCCGAATTACAATTTAAGTCTTTTCAGTAAAACCAATTATTGAAAAGCCCTCCAAGAAGGAAAGTGTATTTATTTGAAAGAAACATCAATCTTCCTTTCGATAATTATGCTGAGTTTACATTAATTAATCTTCCTTCAGTATGTCTAAATTCAGTTAGATGTTTGCAGATTATCCGTATCTGTATATACGGTGTTCGGAAGTGAAATAGCTTTTCACCATAAATCAAATACAGCTTATCAAGTCATGCCCAGAATCAAAGTAAAAATGATGAATGGCCAGTTAAAATTACAGTGCTGTCTCTATTCAAAGTATTTGTTCTGAACAGGACTGCGATTAAGATTTTTTCTACGAAAATCAGAAATAAGACTGCGCTTGCTATATGTACATTTTGCCAATGTAAATCCACTTGAGTATGCCCGTACATAGGACTTTGTACTCTCAACAGGGGACTTAAAATTTAAAACCGGGTAACTGCTTTCATAAGGAGCTTCAGCACAAAATAATTGCCGAGATGACACCTACAAAATTATCTTTCTGATGATCACTCCGGCTGGAGACACTTGATAAGGCACGGCCGGGGGAGCAGTCAATCAACAAAGTTCAGAAAAACTGCGCAACAACCTGGGAACCGGGACTGAAACTTCTCCACCCCCGTCGGACTCGGCCTTTCCCATATTGGGGGTGTCTCCTTGGGTGTGGGCCACACTTGCAACTAGCAGCTCCGCTTGGGCAAGGCAATTTGCCCAGCCACTTGTCCCTTCTCAGCGGTCTCCTCCCTTCCTCCCTCCCCAAAGGCCAAGGACAGCGACGTCCTCCTCCCTCTTCTCCTCCTCTTTGGTGCCTGCAGCCAGGAGGCGGGAGTGACCCTAGGCAGCTGACCCAGCCCAGGCACTGCCTCTTCCACAGCCCTCAGGACACACCATGGGCCCAGAGGCAGGTTTGCAGCACAGCAGCGACGACGCAGGCGGCGGCCCGGGCGACTCTCAACTGCCTCCCTGACCGCCGCGACCACCGCCCAAAACCCCGAGAAGCCATCGCTATCAAAGGCAGGAGAATCAGGGACCCCAAAACCATCTTCGCGACCGACTACAAGCTACGTCAACAACTATGGCAGGCGAGGGGTGGCGGGCGGAGCGGATGGGGGAAGATTGGGGGATCTACGTCACGCCGAGGGCACCCCTGCGGGAGGCCAGGCGCCGCCTCAGCCCTCAAAATGGCGGCGGCAGTGACGCGCCTGCGTACGGGACTCCTTCCCCGTCACGTCACGGCCGGCGGGAAGTGAGGTTCTCAGAAGAGCCGCCAGAAGTGTACGGCGACTTCGAGCCCCGGGTAACCATAGAAAAGTCCCGGGCGGGAAAACGAAGCTCGCGAGAAGAGTTCCGGCCCGATTCTGAGAAAGAGGAAGTGAGAGAAAGCAACTACTACCTTAGATCTCAGCGGAGGCAGCGGAGACCAGAGGAAGCCGAAGAGATGAAGACACGAAATGTGTCCCGCCTGCCGCAGCAGCAGCAGAACTCACGGCAGCTTCCGCCACAGCAGTCTCCGGCTACGACTAGAAGAAGGATACCAGTGTCGCATTTCTCTGAAGGTGAGACTGATGGAGGTAACAGTCTCAGCTGCACGCCGGGGCGCGGGCGGGCGGGGCGTGGGGTGTGTGCGCACCGGATCTCGCCCCAGGCCGGGGCCCGACCTCTGGGGGCTTCTCCTCCGCGATGGAGGTGCGCCCCCACGCGGGGACCCCGACCGCAGGCGGGAAAAGCCCGGGCTGGAGGACCTGAGCAGAGCCGGGGAGCTCTGCCCTTTCTAATCATCAGTTTAGGGGGGATCAGGGATTACCTCTTTCTGCAGGCCTTTATGGGGGGACGGCAATCAGGGCCCGGGCTCGGTTTCTTTTTGGTTCCCACCCATGCGACCTATTTTTGTACCAAAGCCATTTCCAATTCATGGTTTGACTCTCAGGATGGCTGTACCAGTCCTTTCCCATCAGCACCCTGTGGGGAGAGAAGAGGAAATGCTGTGAGCGTTGGGAGGATTAGCGTAGTTGATGATTGACTGGACACCCCACTCTTGTGCTTGCAGCGGGTGGTGTAGGTCAGTTAGTCTAAACTTGAGGCTCCTCAATGCCTCATAAACTGGAGCTGATCGCTCTTTGTCGTGTGTGTTGGTCTCTACCAAAAATTCCCCACGTTGGAGGCCCGCAGTGTAACCTCATTGTTAAGGAGCCTGACAAAGCAAGACTATTAATTGTCCTCAAAATGAACCAAAAGGATGCCTACAAAGTATGTGTGTAGTTTTAGAACGACACAGTTGAACTCCCTTAACCCATCTTCACCTACCCTGCCCCCCACATCTAACACCGAGTTACAGGTGACATTCGTGTTAGCCCCACGCAAGGCATCTATGAGATAAAAGTCAGGACGTGTGATCACAGTGGATTTACATGGCTGGTGATAGACCATTGATGGATATAAAGAAGATATTAAATTTAGAGCATAATAATAAGCTACAAGTTTACCTGATGATAGAGTTGAAGATGTGTTGATTTTAGAGACTTTATATTTCTACGGATAATGTAAGTTACTGTTCCATGGAACAACTCAAGACAGTTTAGCCCATGTATACCTTAGTTTTATTTCTCTTATAGATTATTAACTTCCTGAAGACAAAAGTCTTGTCTACATATATATTTGAAAAGCCGTGTGATATTTCTGTATCTCAGAGATGGCTTTGCACATAGTAGGCGATAAATACGTTGCGTTGTTTTGGCTCTTCCACAGAACCTACTGTGGTTCTATATTTTTAAGCACATGAAGGATTGCCTCTATTTTGGTAAATCTATAAGATCGAACTGTTTTTCACTGTTGTATTCCATATTTATGATGCTTTAGCTCATCTTTTAAATTTTCCAAAAGTAATTTGCTTTGGTTGCAATGTATCAGTGTTGTATAATTAAATTTTATATTGTCAAGAGTAGTTCTAACTGGTTGAATCCCTAAATTTTGATAAACTTAATTATATATTTTAAGAAAATGAATTACTTGCATTTCTGCTTAGTCTGTTAATACATATAATCCCTACACAGAGCACATGTTCTGAATGTTGATAATTATCTTGTTTATTCTTTAGAGGATGAACCATTGTTATCGTCACAAACTGTTTTCAGCAACATGGTCTCAAAGAAAACCAGCAGAACACAAGATATCTCAGGTTTGTTGTTTTCCTTTCCTGACAACTTTTTTATGTACAGACTTTAAAATAATAGCCTGATTCCTAAAGGGTCCCAAATCATACCTCACTCAGAGTTTTAGTGAAACTTCTTTATAGGTTGTTTATTGAATTAAGCAATACAGGCTTGTGTCAAGAAAAAAAAGGTAGGGGGAACGTGGAGACTGGGGCAGATACTTGAGTATTTACTAAGTACTAGCCACTTTGTTAATTCACATAACTATGCAAAATAGATATTATGCCCATGATATAGAAGAGAAAGCTTAGAGTGGCTAAGATTTTCCCTAATATCATGCAGTAGATGAGTAGGCCAAAATTGAGACCTAGTTATTTTTTCTCCAGAGTGCTTTGATTTTTCTCTCAAGTACCTCACTAACTCTCCCATGTGATTACTACTCAGTAAAGTTTTAAATGTTGAATGAATACATCACATTACCTTCTATTTAAAATAGATTAAATGATCTGCAAAGTAAAATCATGACACAATATGGTCAGTCATCAGTTTAATACTACATGTCACCAAATCTAAGATGTAAGATATACCACTGTTGCTTTGTGTGCCAACTATTAATAAAAGGAAGAAATGCTGCCAATTAAAATGAATGTGTTTTTGATTAGATTATATGATGCATTCAAATTCAAAGATATTGAAGATTAAAGATATTAAATCTTTTCATCAATGTTACATAGAAATAGACTATATTTGTATACTTAAGGTTTTAAAAATGTTTAAACTAGTTTGAAAAGCCTAGAAAAGATTAAGTTTTGTGATTAATGCATAGGGCTCTTTAGTCTTAGTTCCATTTATTTTCAGTTTGCTTTTCTTGAATATTAGGAAAACCTCACAATAAATTATAGCTATTGCAACTGATCATCCCTGGCTTTTTTAACCCATATCCTAATTTATTTCCTTATGTATTGCTTCTAATAAGATCATGCTTCATAATTAGAACTATTCTATCCTCAATTTAGAATAAAATCTCTCTGTTCAAGTTCAGTATCAAATAAACACAAACCTCCCGCTTACTTCTTTAAATAGTGTATCACTATGTTAAGATTATAAACTATCTTAGGAAAATGCTTGGAATAATAGTTGCTAAAATCAGATTTTCCAGGTGATTTAAAAAAAATCTTGAAATTTTATTTACAGTAGTTTTAATTACATGTGATTTATACCCTGAAAACCAAAAGGTTCTCATTTTTTAAACCTGGGATAAAGTTATAGAAATTTTGAAGTTAAATAAATTGATATAATTATGATTATTGAGCACCAGTCACAACAATCTATTATATGATAAGACCATTATGTAATAGGATGTCTTGAGTAGTCTTTGTTCACATTAGGCCTATAATTAAGGACTGCTAAGAGGTACATGACTGCATAGTGTCATGGAAAGAGCCCTGGACCTTGGTTGAGTTACACACCCACTTTAAGCCAAAGACCTTTATCTATATGATTTTCCCTGCTTAACTGACAAGGCTTCTGCAGAAGTGATATAGTACATACAAAATCACAGTAAAGCATACAGACTTTAAGTAATTTTTTCCCTTATGGCATTTAATAAGAAATGTGAAATGTATTAAACTTTGATTAAGCAGGTCTGTCTTTTTCTGAAGAATCTTACAGCCAAAAATGGAAAAGATACAACATTGCCCTATATAGATGATAGCTTGATGGAACCCATGCACAGGTTATCTGGAATATATCAATTGCACACTGCGTATAATATACAATTATTAGAAATAGAGGTATGTGATCTTAAAGAGATTTAAGATAATTGGTTCTCTAACTCTAAAAGGTGCTTTTAAAAGTCATTCTGTATCCAGCATTTCACATGTTCCCATCTCAGCCTCTTTGTGAAAGAAGAAAGAATTTAGGGAATTGTAAAATAAATACTTGTACAGTCTGTCTAGCAGTTATTTAACGAGAAGTCACTTTGATGGAAGATTTCTACCATTCTCGTAGAAGCATAGGCTTTCTGTTTATTTTTGTCATTCAAAATAGTGATATATACTATCTGAAAGTAGAATGTTCCCATTTGATATGATTTGGAAGGTAATTTTTTGCATCTGGGAATGCGCAAAAATTTTTCCATTAAATTAATAAATTTTTACCATTAAATTAATGGTAATAGCATTCCCATTACCTCCCCCCAAAAAAAAAAAAAAAAAAAAACAATCTAGCACATCCATCACACCAGATAGGGAAGTTCTATTTTCAGAAAACAGGAAAAACCTGTAATTGTATATAGGACTACTGGGTGTGTTTTGAGAAAAATTTATCCAAAACTATCCTTAAGAATAAAAATCTAAACCAAGAGGCCACCTTCTAAGCAACCTAATGAAGACATCTTTGTCATCTGTCATTCTGTTTTTGGAAGGCACGATAAATGTTAATTAGTTTAGGACAGTGATACAGTTAGAACTTTTCTTATTGTTTGAAGTTCCAGAACTGAGTTATTTTCACATTAAAATAGCCATTCAGGTCAATCAGTTCAGTTAATATATACATATATAGCTGCTATTCTTCAATGGCCAGACTCATTCCTTTCTGAAAATAACAATATGAATTTTATAATCTAAAAATATATTGAGTAAAATTTCAATGAGTTTTTCAAGGAGTAAGTAAATATTTTTGTTCTGACAGTGGTGATTTCTAACTAAATCACGGGTGTTTTTAAATGCCTATTAGTTTGTCATGAGCATTTTATTCTTTAGCTACTGTAGTTATTTCATTCATTCACCAGATATTTATTGAACACCTGCTTTTTGCCAGTCCTCATGCTAGATGCTGGTGTAAAGTGGTGAATGAAAATGGACTAGGGGAAGAAATTGCTTTGAAAGAAGGGTCTTGTTATTTTATTCTTTAATTTCTCTCTGTGGTACTGCCTTCTTGGGTATTTTATATCAGCTGGGTATATAATAACACATACAAGAGATGTTTCTTTTTTTTTTAAGATTTTATTTAATTTTTCATAGAAGAACTGGGATGTAGGCCAGAGGTGCCGGGGGTGAGAGGGTTCACCAAAGAGAGAGTGTGGGGAGCAGATTACTGCTAAAGGGAGCAGTGGACGAGACAGGAAAGGTCTGCTGTGCCATATGTGTTGTTAGCTCCCTGGCAAGGATTGAACTCAGGCTATCACAGTGGTAGCACTGAGACTTAACCCCTAGGCCACTAGGGAGGCCCAAGAAATGCTTTTTAAATGAAAAGATGGGGACTGAAATAGTAAATGATGTTTATAGATTCAGTTGAGCTTTAGGTTTTAATTAAACCTCAAAAGGGTGGTAGCAGAGAGGAGAAAAAGAGAACGGTAGTTATAATAATGGAAGTAAAATGGTAAGTTATATTGTGCTTTTATTATCACATGTACAAAGATTGACTTTTTTTTAAAGGTTTTTTTTTTTTTTTTTTTTTTAATGCACACAAGAACTGGGATGTTGGCCAGAGGTTTGGGGAGGAGGGTGAGAGGATTCACCAGAGAGGAGTAGGGAGCAGAACAGGCGGATTGACTGAAACACTGCTTAGGGGAGCAGTAGGCGAGACAGGAGAGGTCTGCTGCGCCATGAGGGCCAGCTCCCTGGCTGGGGATCAAATTCATGCTGCAGAGGCTGGTGATAGCTTGATAATGCTGAAACTTTAACCCATGTGCCAACAGGGAGGCCCCCAAAGATTAACTTTTAAAACTAAGTTGTAAATACCTAATGTGTGAAACACTAGCAACTGAGATAGGTATTTCATAGAATCTTAGAGCTAGAAGACTTAGGAAGGACATCTACTCAGAGTTGCTTAGAGTATGTGGTGTACCTTTATCATCCATTCAGCCATTGCTTGACCACATTCAGTGACATGAAAATGATTCTCTCACTATTTTGTTTCAAAGGGAACTCTAGTAATTTTTTTTAATATGTAAAAACTACTTTGTTGTGACTTTTCATCAACTTAATTCTGCCTTTTTGAGCTGTATAAAATCAATAGGATCATTTTTCAACATCTCTGTCTTATGATGCATAATAGCAAGGCTAAATAAGCTATTTTTTGAACCATTGAATGCCTGTGTTTTCAAGATTTCTTTTCTAGTTACTATAAAAGGAAAATTGGGTTAAATCAGTTTTGTTAGAACAAACATAGGAAGTCAGTGTTATGGCGGGGGCCATTGATAGTCTAGGATGTGGTAATTACCACATACAGAGTCAAACATAATGCTTTTTTTGTAAAGACCAATGAAACAAAACAATGTAATTCAACGTTGAATATAGGCTGGATATTAGGTTATTTTTTGTGAGGCTCCTTTAGCCTCTAGGTTAATGATAACATTTTATGTAGTGGCATTGGCATACCCAGTTGTACCATAGACAGTCTGAAACAAGTCCTAGCTAGAATTCTGTTTTTTTTTTTTAAATTAGAGTTTACATTTCTCAAACACATACAAGATTGACTACTTGGAGGAACTGAATGAATACTCAGAAAGTTAATTCTAAAATTATAATATGCCATAAATAACCCACAAAGAAGGTAAGCAACAAATGGAGTAGCCAACTGAGTTAGTGCTAAGTACAGATTTTGGGTCTTAGTTAAGAAATTTAGAGGCGTTTAATTTGGTATTCTTTTCCTTTTATACAAGTACGATCTACTGAAACAAATCGCAACTTTTTGCATTAAGGCCATAAATTTTTTATGGCAAAAAACTTGTCTCTAGATCACTATTGTATTCCCACACCTAGCATAAAGGAAAGCTCAGAAAACCTTTGTTGAATGAATAGGTGATTGTGTAATAAATCTAGTATGTTTGACATTTTATATATTTTTCAATGGTCTGTCTTTCTGTATTAGTGGCGAGTAAAGATGAAGATACTATGCGTGACCTCCGTAGGCCCCCTATAAAAAGAAACAGATCTGGTAAGAGATTGTTTTTGTCTATGGATTTAATGTTTATATAAATACAATTTCATTTTTAACAGGGTAGTACATGTACTCATATGGTTCAAAATTCAAAAGTTAATATATGTATTTTTATACACACACACACACTTACAATGGAAACGCTCCCTGCCTCTACTCACCCCGTATCCTCACTAGAGGCAACCAATTTTGTCAGCTTCTAAAGCATTTTTCCAGAGATATTTCATGGAAATATCTGTATAAATTATGTTTCTTCCTTTTTAAGACAAATTTTAGCCTGATAAATACACTTTTCTGTACCTTCCTTTTGTATGTTATTTAATGCATATGTTCTTTCCACATAAGCATATAAAGGCTTCCTTATTTTTTAAAGAGATTTATGTGTTGCGGTGATTTTTTTTTTTTTTGTTAACATGATTTGATTTTACTTTTTAATTTTTCTTTAGCATGATGATTTTGAACTAGAGTCAGGCTTTTTATTCTTCCTAGTATAGTGCTAATAAAAAACTCAAGACTCAGAGTCTTTGTGACTCAGTACTATATAGTTTCCCTGCCTCATTTACATTTCTTTTTGACTAAAACATAAAGTATTCCCTTCAAATTGATTTCATGACTATGAAATAAATCAGTAAAGCCATTCTATGCAATGTGCTCCTACGGTACATTTTCAGAGATTTTTAGTACATAAGGATGCTTTATCCTACGAACTAAATAATGAAGCTTATTTGTCTTCATAGTAGGTTTCTACTCCTCCTCAATTATATTCTTTGAGAATTATGTTAAAATTTTTTTGATAGATGAGTGTCCTTTCAAGTAAATGACTGTCCTTTAAAATGATGAAGGTCTGTTATGGTTGACAAACCTGGGTTAAAAAACCATATGATGCATTTCCTTTTTAGATCTAATCATGTCTCGCTATCTCTCTTGCAGATTCGGCACACAAAACAAATGGAAATACTAAAATGAGTGAATTAGGTTAGCTTATCTCTAATTCTTATAGGTTCTCTTTGAGAGTTCCAGGTATCTCTTAAATTCCAGAGCGTACATGTTTGGTGACTGACTTGAGAATATTACTTTGTTCATTATCTCTGATATATAGGACACTGTCCCTATAACCATTGACCTTTCATAATAGCTTTGGTTTTTATTCTCTCTGAAATTATCTTTTTTATGTTATTGTTTAAATTCATCTAAGGCTATAATACATTTATACATTTTAGCTTTTACTAGCTTCTGTTAAATTCATACTATTCAGAGAAAGGTGATATCAATTTACCAAACAAGGTTTTTTCTTTCTTAGAAAGTGAATCAATAATAATTAGTCCACGAGTAAGTCCAATGTCCTTTGCCATGTTTGTGTAACTAGTTTAAATTTGAGTGTTTTCCTTGGTGTGTAGAGTGACATATTCTAAAGATAGGCTTTAAGTGAACGTATGTTGATTATGGTTGGATTTAGTTTTAAGTTAAATTTTTTTCAAACTTTGGAGATGAGTCAAAAAGAAGGAAGCTTCATTTTTTTCATCAGTAGTTTCAACTTCCTTTATTAAATTCATCTTTTACTTAAGCTTAGAATAATTTCTTCAGAGACTTCAGAATGTGTAGTTGGCTGGGTGCTAAGAATGACCCTGCAGTATATAATTTATCATGTATTTTTATCTGAATTTGGCAGTTTTACTTTCTATGCTAGATTTAGAAATCATTTTTATAATTATGGTTATAAAACTAAGAGTAAAAAACATGCTTTCCAGTTTTAAGAAGATATCTGTGAGATTAATGTAGAGAATGTCTCCTTCTGATTCTATTTACAGTAATGTTGGTACAACTTGGAATATATAAAATGACTTCATGGAAATATTAGTGACGTCCCCAAATTGTTCTTTTTTTTTTTTTTTAAGATTTATTTATTTATACAAGAACCGGGGTACAGGCCAGATGTGCAGGAGGGTGAGAGGATTCACCAGAGACAGAGTGGGGAACAGAACAGGCAGACTGACTGAAATACACTGCTGAGGGGAGCAGCTGGTGAGGCAGGAGAGGTCTGCTTCACCCCCAAATTGTTCTTTACTCTTTGTTCCCTATTGCCCCAATCTGATGGTGTTCTCAAAAATAGCATTGGCATCGAACAGTTTTAAATATACTATTCTTAATGGTGTCTACACCAGGTTTCAGCAAGCTATAGCTTCTGAGTAATATCTGACCCACAGTCCTGTTTTACACAGCCTGTGAGCTGAGAAAGTATTTTTACATAGTTTTAATATACGTATATATAGGAGATCTATATGTATGTGTGTGTGTATATATATGTCATGTATATGACAGACTTTATGTGACTTGGAAAATGTAAAATATTGACCCATTTTGGAAAAAGTTTATCAATTTCTGATTTATACCAGTAGCAGGAATAAAGACTATAAATTGTCATTTGTTCTAAAAGTAAATTTAGAGTTACATACTTGCCTAATACATAGTTACATACTTGTCTGTACTCCATATAAGGTTGTACTGGCAGCACAAGAAGACAGGAGACAAAATTCTGTCTACTCTTAGAGGATGAATGGTAGTCTCATTTATGATAGCTTCATATCTTTGTCTCCAAACAAGACACAAAGTAAGCGAAATTTACACTTCTATACGTTTTATACCAATGCATTCCATAAAAATCTCTGGGAATAGCAAAGTCTATAATAAATGTAGTTACTTTGGCACCTGGGCTTTCAAAATATCTAGTGGATTTTATAAACTTTGTATTTTCCTTAAAAACCAGCCAAGAAAATGATGCAGTTAGTGGTTGATCTCTCCACCAGAGGAAATGAACATGAAGACTCAGGGATTCTAAAAGGGCATTTTCTTAATTGGTTAATGTTTTGGATAAGTAATACCTCCTTAACAGTATGGGCCTCCCCTGGTAGCGCAGCAGTTGAGCGCTGGGCTGCGAAGCTGCCCGCAGCCTCTGCAGCGCTGGTTCGATCCCCAGCCGCCGGTGAGGGTCCCACATGGCACGACAGACATCTCCTGCCGCGCCCACTGCTCCCCTCTGCAGTGTATTTCGTCAGTCTGCCTGTTCTTTTCCCCTCTCTGGCTCTGGTGAATTCTCTCACCCTCCTGTCCTTCTGACTGTACCCAGTACTTGTATAAATAAATAAATAAATCTTTAAAAAAAAAAAACAAAACAGTATATTTAATCATTGTCATTTGTCTTTTTATTTGTTAAAATCATAGTTTTATAATTAAGATAATGTTTTAAAAAGTAAGGTTATTACTGTAGCAAATAGGATTTTAACTTCTCAAAGTTTCTGCATAAGTAGGGAAGAGTAATATCTTTTTTTTTTAATATTTTTTTAAATGCTCTAACCTTCTTGGTTGCAACCAAGAAGTTTAAAATAAAGGAAGCAGAGTAACAAAAGAAGGAAATGAAATAAAAACTTTATGTAGTTATAAATGCTGCTGATTTCACCATCAGATTATATTTAATATTTATCTGTACATTCTTTGCAGTCTAAATTAAAAATATGAAAACAGATAAAATTATCATAATGTGAGAAATGTAAGTAAAAATCTTAAAAGCTTATTCTGTGATCATAAAATCTATTCATTTTTAAACACCTTATATATGTATGTTAATGACTGGCTTTAAGTGTGAGAACCATAACGAACCATGAAATTTTTTCTCTATAGCTCTTAGGAGTACATGAGCTAATGGAAAAGAAAAATAAGTTCAAAAATTATAATTATAAAATTATAATTAATAGAAATATTAACTTTTATATGATAGTCTAAGGAGAAGTGCCCTACTCAGTGGAAAAGGTCAGGAAGGTTTTATGGAGGAGATGGCATCTGAGTTGAATTTTGAAGAATGAATAGCAGGTGAATTATGGGAGGAGACTTGCAAATATTCTAGTCTTATAATGGATAAGAATCCTTTAGAATCCATGCAATGTGAGAAATTAAATTCCTTTAGAGACAACATTCTTACATTAGCTGTGACTCTGTGATATCTTTTGTTATTTTTTGTTCTTGAGCTTCACTTACTATAATGAAAACCATGTTTCAAAATTTGTATGTAGCCAAAACTATGAATGGCCTGATAAATGATGATTTGTTAATCAATCATCAACTATATGATTTATTATTAAAGATTTCTAATTCATAAGATGTAATCGGAATATGAGGTACAAAATAATACTGTCTTTTGTTTTTAGTGATAGTATCAAGACAACCTTACTTAACAAGTTACTGATCATGACTTTAATACTGTTGATAATTATTTGTTGTTAGGAACGTGGAGTTCTAAAACATTCCATTTAGACATTAGACACTGAATTAAAAGTCTTAAGTGTTCAAAAATAGATAACATCCATGACTTATTAAATACTTCAAATATGATAGAACATATTAGGAGTATTACAAATAAATGGGAGCCCTCATGTGTAAATTTGTTAAAAAATCATTCTTAAATCTTCTCCATACTAATTAGATAATATACATATAAACAGAAAAAAAGAGGTTAAATTTTAGGTAATCTGGTATATGAGGGATTGACTATTAGGTGAACTGGCTTTAGAAAATTTGACCTAGACCTTCAAAAGTATACAGAAACAAAGAGTGAAAAAGGAAGTGATTACTGTATTATTCATTTTTTCCTAATAGCTCCATGAGTAAATATATATCTTCACCATACTTTTCCATTATTACAGATTCTAAAATTCAGCCTTAAAAAATTTACCATAGTAAATATTTTTTATGCTATATAAAGCATTGTACCCTTATTTATAAATGTAATTTTAGCAAAGCTACAATATTACAATAAATACACTTGGGAGTTGCTGTAACCTATCTTAGGAAGAGTTCAACTCTCAGCCTTTCTTCATCATTCATTCAATCATTCAAAAATGTATTGAGGGGAACTTCCAGTTTCTGGTTCCATATGTAAAGGGCTTAGAAATTGCCACTCTATTCTCATAGCAAGTAAAAACTGACAAAAATGTACAGCTCTTTTTGAATCCTTAAGAAAGAACAGGACAAAGAACAAACCACTGCTTCCAAGCTTGGAGAGACCAACACACAAATACAGGAAAGTCATGACTTGTCAGAACTGAGACTCAGAAGCAGAAGCCTAGGTAGGAAACCTAGGTAGGAAAATCTGAACTGCACTTGATAAATTGCTGAAGGCTCAGTTTGAGAGTTAAAATTTCTAAGGGTACCTAGTCACAGGAGAACTCCCACTGTAAAGTAAGATTTACCTCCAACAGCTTAACCAGGTTCCCACAGTAAATACCAGAAAGAAATTCCCTAATGACACCTATAGAGGGAAGGTAAAAGAACCATTTTTGAAATATGCCAGAGTACTCTTCTTCCTAACAAAGCCTGCCTGCCCTTAGGAGAAAGTAGTTAGCCAGAGACTGACCTTGGGAGAGGGAAATACCCAATTTTAGGTCGCACTAGACATCCTGTCCCATCTAATAGATAATGGAAAAATTGAAAATCTTTTTTGAAGTTCATAGTTCAGAGGTAGAGTCTTACTAAAAGACTGAAACCTAATCATAGGACTGTAGAATACTTCCCTTCCCCTTGTCCCACATCTCACCACCACATTACCCAAGGTCTATTTATAGCACTTCCTTTCTACCCAATACATCATGTATAGCTATTGAGAGAAATTCCAAAACACACCAAAAGAAAAAAAAAACCCAACAATTTGGAGTAAACATCAGAACCAGACATGAGAGATGTTAGAATTATCAACTGTAAATTTAAAACAAGTACTATTAATATGCTAAGGACTCTAATGGACCAAGTAGAGAGCGTGCAAAAACAGATGGACAGTGTAAGCAGATAGATGGGAATCCCTAAAATAAAGAAGAAATACTAGAGGTAAAAAGCAGTGTAACAGAAATGAAGAATGCCTTTGATAGGCCTATTAGTAAACTGGACACAGCTGGTGAAAGAATTTCTGATCTACATGCTTTATTAATAGT